CTAGAATAAGAGGCACTTGGCTGCAGGCACTGGCAGTGCATGTGCTCAGGACCTGCATACCACACACGCACTCTCTTTTCAAGAAGAGTGCATGTGTATTATACAAGAGTGCTCATGTCTGCCAGTACCTGCATCTGAGTGGCTCTTACTCTAGAGTAAAGGAGTGCTCAGCTGCAGGCACTGGTAGGTGCAGATGCTTTCTGGGCCAGTGCACCATGCACACACTCACCTTAGAAAAAGAGAGAGAGAGTGCCCAAAAAGTGCCCAGCCTGCCAGTGCCTGCAGCAGAACACCTCCTCTAGAGTAGAAACTGCCAGTAAGAAGAAGCCTCCTTAAAGCATGTGCCAGAAAGGGGAGCCTGGGTAGGAAGCCCCCTCCGATAATGGGCTGATAGAAAATTGATCTTCCAGCACCGCAGAACGAAAACAGATATCTGCCCTCCTGATTTTGGGAAGCTCCCAAAAAATGGATCGGGGTCTCCACTGAAAGCTGGGACATGAAACGGGTCAAGGTTTACCCCAAATGCACAACCCTAGACCCTAACTTTCCTGGCACAAGAAGAAGTAGGAATAAATACTTAGAATATCAGCAAATTCTAAGGGTCCCAGATTTGAGGTCTAGAACACAAATATTAGAATAACAATAATGGAGTGACCTTATTTATTTATTTATTTATTTACTATATTTGTATACCACCCTTCTCAGCCCTCAGGTGACTCAGGGTGGTTTACAGAGACAACGATTCAATGTCCAAGAACATCATAAAACATTTAAAACATTAATACATAGTATAAAACCAAACAAAAGTAATAAAAACATAAGCCATTTGCGTCTCCTAATTAAAAAAATTATCCATCTCATTATATCATTTTTGTACCATTTTGCCCTGTCTTTGCAACTCATATTTTTTTCTGAAGTTTTCTTCTTCAATTTTATTGTGCAGCTTATACTAGCCCAAAGTTTCTAAATAAATGTTATCACTAACTTGGTTTTGGACCACTATACCACCCTTTCATTTAAATTCATTCAATATATGTATATCTTATCTTTATTTAACACACACACACTATCTATCTATCTATCTATATATTACACTTTTTTGTTACATCATACTTTTTACTCGTGGTACTTAGGGAATTTATAAAATGTAATTTTCATAAAATAAATATTCTCATCATGCCTCAGCAAACTACAGTACAAGAAAAAAGAGCAAAAGATTCACAAAATGTACAATTATACTACCTGACTTCACAAAGGGATTTAAAACACCTGAGCAAGACAAAAAGTTTTGACATGTTGGCAAAAAGACTAGGCTGTTGTTCTCAGAAAGGGAAGTTGTTCTCAGAAGGTGTGCGACTACAGACAACATTCTGTTCCCATTTTTCATCTAGTGTACAATGCGTAATTGAAAAGAGCCTCATTTGAAGATCTTAGGTAGACAGACTGGTTGCTAAATCACTTCGGTCTTTGCAGTTAAGATCTTTACATTCTGATCAGAATTAATATGCTCGTTCTAGAATCAGTATCATATCTCTTTGTACAAGTTACAATTTTGACTATTGTATTCTGCTAGCACTGATTGCAAATTGTCTTCAAGGGTAGCTCCATGTATGACATGTTGTAGTAATCCTATCAGGGAGGTACCAGAGAATAATCCACAATGGCTAGACTATGGCCCCTTTCACACAGTTGAATAAAATCCCACATTATCTGCTTTGAACTGGAATATATGGCAGTGTGGAATCAGATAACCCGGGGCCTTCTACATAGCCCTATATCCCTGAATATCAAGGCACAAAATCCCACATTATCTGAGTGTGGACTCTAACTCAAAGCAGTTTAAAGCAGATACTGTGGGATTTTCTTCCTTGATATTCTGGGATATAGGGCTGTGTGGAAGGGCCCCATCTCTAATGAGGAAAATTATACCTGGTGAGAGCATTTCTGGCTACTAAAAGCTACTTGGATGTCAAGTGACATGAGTGGATGAAGAAGTATCCACAAGCTATACATCTGTACTTTTGTGCAACACCTTTAAAACAGCTTAAGCAGCCTGTTGCTAGACAGGAGAAATGTCTACCCATAAGGCCTTCATTTGTTAGTACACAGCTGCGGTTTATTGACTTTCAATCAGTGTGGTGAAGATGGATTCTAGTTAAATTACTCAAATAACATAGGCATGAATGCCTCTTACTGTTGCTCATTCCTGAGTCCAGATTTCTGTTGTTCTCAGGCTTCAGATACATCAGGGATGGGAATGATGTGGCCCTCCAGATGTTGTTGAACTGCAGTTTTCAGAATTCCTCACAACTGGCAAAAGTTTCTAGAAACTCTAGTCCAATAATACTTGGAGGACAATACACTCCACGCTGGTGTTGGGATTTTTAATTGCAAACAGCCTAGCTTCCTTGCAGCTGAACAGAAATGTCACAGAACTACTTTCTGAAGCCAAACCTGCAGATACAAAAGGAATGGCTACACTATTGTGGCTCCCACTCACCCCTGCTCCACAGACCCTGTGTAGCAAAATGCTACGAACAATTCCACGGAAGCCCTCTTCATGATCATTTCTGTGTGTGTGTGTGGCATAAGCAGCTTGAGAAACTGCAAGTCACCTCTCGTGTGAGAGGATTGGCCGTCTACAAGGACGTTGCCCAGGGGTTACCTGGATGTTTTGATGTTTAACCATCCTTGTAGGAGGCTTATCTCATGTCCCCGCATGGGGAGCTGGAGCTGACAGAGGGAGCTCACCCGCACTCTCCCCGGACTCAAACCTGCGTCCTGTCGGTCTTAAATCCTGCTGGCACAATATCATATCCCAATTGTCTTTCTTCTCCTTTAGGTCACCAAGGCCATAGTGGGCCAAGCTTAGGCCTGAAGCTGGAATGAAATGGGGCTAGATCAACCTTCCCCAAACTGGTGCCTTCCAGATGTCTTGGACAATGATCATTGCCCATGTTGAGCAGGGTTGATGGAAGCTCAAGTCTCAAACCTATAAGGAGGGTGCTAAATGAGGGAGGGTGATTTGGATCACCTATCTGTCCAAGAACAGGGTGGACCAAACTATTACCATTACTTTCCAATATCTTACCCAACTGGCAACTGGTTCTAAGAAGTTTTCATACCAAAGTGGGGTCAGCCATTCTCACAAGCAGCATGAGCCATCTCCTATTGGTTTCACTAACCGAGACCCCTTCCACACAATTGAATAAAATCCCACAGAAATATATAGCAGTGTGGACTCAGATAACCCAGTTCAAAGTAGACACTGTAGGATTTTCTGCCTTGATATTCTGGGTTATATGGCTTGACTATCTCATTGACTTGACTATCTCATCAGCCAAAAGTGGGCCTTACACTTCCCACTAAAATACTGGTAAGTTTATGTTGGTTAATATTGTTCTTCATTTTAAATACCGTATTATTTTTCTTTTCTTTTCTTTTCTTTGCACTGCAAATAAGATATGTGTGGTGTGCATAGGAATTTCTTCATTTTTCTTTTCTTTTCCTAACTACATTCCGGCACTCCAACAGTCTGAGGGACCATGAACAGGCCCTCTGCTTAAAAAGTAGAAGGGCCCTGGGGTTATAGGTCCACCAGATATTCTGATTAAATTTGATTCAGTGCATTACAGTAAGGGCCCTTCCACACAGCCCTATATCCAAGAATATCAAGGCAGAAAATCCCACATTATCTCAGTTATCTGAGTGTGGACTCAGATAACCCAGTTCAAAGAGGATATTCTGGGATATAGGGCTGTGTGGAAGGGCCCTGGGTTATCTGAGTCCACACTCAGATAATGTGGGATTTTCAGCCATGATATTTTGGGATATAGGGCTGTGTGGAAGGGCCCTAAGTTGTGATCTTATTCCTTAGATCAGGGATCCCCAAACTAAGACTTCTGGGCTGAATTTGGCCCTCCAAAGTCATTTATCAGCCCCCACCTTAAACTTTATATTTAGGGTCACCCTAAGATTGAAACAACTTGAAGGCACACAACAACAACACTCCTAATTGACTTGACTATCTCATCAGCCAAAAGTAGGCCTCACACTTCCCACTGAAATACTGCTAAGTTTATGTTGGTTAAAACTGTTCCTCATTTTAAATACTGTATTATTCTTTCAGGGGCCCATAGATGTGGGCAAAACATCAGGAGAGAATGCTTCTGGAATATGGCCATACAGTTTGGAAAAGTCACAACAACGCAGTGATTCAAGCCATGAAAGCCTTCAATAACAAAAATATGTCTGTTTAATTATAATAATGACTTTCTTTTCTTACCCAAGCCTCCAAGATCAGATACAAACATTCTTGACAGGCAGAAATGATAGGTTTTTTTTTTCCAAAAGGGAATAGGTTCAAAGCGATGCACATAGCACAGGATGTCAGTCTGCCTTGCCCCAACCCCCACTCTGCCATCATCAGCATCATGCCAAGCAAAACAACCCAAGGGAGGCTGGCTGTGGCAGGTGTTTAAATAATTTACCAGCCAGGCGGAGGGTAGACTGGCAAAGGGTGGTGCTGTCATTCCCTCAGCAGACAGGAGGAGAAAGGAAAACAAGGCAATCTTTGGGAAAGGCCAAGGGTGGGGGAAAGGCACCAGGCCTGGGCTCTTCATGTCCCTTCTCCCATTAGATCTGACCCCTCCCCTGCCTTTCTTTAAGGGCCTCATCACACTAGAGAGAGAAAAATCCACTTAAAATCCGGTTTCTGCCTGCTGCAGAATTCTGGGGTTTGTAGTTTACAGAGGAGCCTTTAACAGCCTCCCTAAATGACAAACCCCAGCATTCTGCAGGAGGCAGAAACTGGATTTAAAGTGGATTTTTTCCTCTGCTGCTTTGTGCATTTCAAGCTCTTTTTTTCTGGCCGAAAGGAAGGTAAACCTAAGGCTTGATGGCAAGATGAGACAACGCTGAACCCTGCCAAGGGAGCCTCTTTCCGCCCTGCCTGCCTTGGCCACCCTGCTCCTCCTGCTTGCTTTCTTCTCCCTTCTTACCTTGGTCTTTCAGGCTGCCGATGAGCTCCAGCTGCCTCTCTTCCTGGGTGCTGTCCATGCTGGCGCCGGGAAAGGCCGCCTTCCGCCTCTCTTCACCTGGAAGAGGGAAAGGAGGCAGATGCAAGCGCTGGAGCAGCGGCGCTACTGCACATGCCCGGCTTTCCTGGGGAGCATGTGCAAAGGGCCGGCGCTCTTCCACGCGCTCAGGCGTCCCGAGCTCGCGCTGCCACACGCGCACGCACTTTGCCTTGCTGTGGGGCGCGGGAGGGGCTCGCGCTCCCTGGGGCGAAAAGCGGAAGCAAAGGAAAGCAAAGCAAAGTAGAGGAGAAGGCGCGCTGCTTGGAGCTGGACGCAGGCATGGGCAAACTTCGACCTTCCTCCAGGTGTTTTGGACTTCAACTCCCACAATTCTTAACAGCCGGTAAAACATGGGAAACTTCCTGTGTTTTTGATAGGTCAGAATAGAGAAAGTGCGAGGAAAAGCTGGGTGGCAACGCTTTCCCTTATGGGATGGGTAAGGGGGCGATGCAGGCGATGTGGGGTGCAGGGTAATGGGTTCCCACTCTGCCCTCTGGATTTGCCTCATTGACCAATGAATGCCCCCACTGTTCCCTGACTTCAGGACCTCAATGTGATGAGGTCCTTAATCATAGAATCATAGAATCACAGAGTTGGAAGAGGCCTCCTGGACAATCCAGTCCAACCCCCTGCCAAGAAGCAGAAAAATCACATTCAAAGCACCCCCAACTGATGGCCGTCCAGCTTCTGTTTAAAAGCCTCCAATGAAGGACCCTCCACCACACTCCAAGGCAGAGAGTTCCACTGCTTTAATAATCTGGAAGTTATGGCAGCGTAGAAGGACCCTGAGTCTACAGTCCCATATGATCTAAGTGAAATCAGATAATCTGAATTTTATAAGGCAGTTTAGGGCCCTTCCACACAGTCATATAACCCAGAATATCAAGGCAGATAAACTACAATATTTAATTTGAACTGGATTATCTGAGGGCCCTATGCCCCAAATTCTGATCCCAAGTTTTTTGTTTATCCCAGATTATCTGGCAGTGGGGACTCATATAATCCAGTTTAAAGCAGAAAACCTGGGATCAGATCCTGGAATATAGGGCCTGTCTGGAAGGGTCCTGAGTCCACATTGCCATATAATGCAGTTCAGTGTGGATTTTAAACAGCTGTGAGTGAGGGGGCATAGAAGGGGGCTAGGAAGTCCTGTGCTAGGCCACATCAAGCGATAATCCCACACCACCAAACTGAACAGCCCTTGATTAGAACTCACAGCAATCAGACATATTTTTCAGCTCTCACAGTCAGGAAGTTCTTCCTAATGTTCAGGTGGAATCTCCTTTCTTGTAGTTTGAAGCCATTATTCTGAGTCCTAGTCTCCAGGGCAGCAGAAAACAAGTTCATTCCCTCCTCCCTATGACTTCCTTTCACATATTTGTACATGGCTATCATGTCATTTCTCAGCCTTCCCTTTTTCGGGCTAAACATGCTCAGCTCTTTAAGCCGCTCCTCATAGGGCTTGTTCTCCAAACCATTGATCATTTTAGTTGCCCTCCTCTGGAGAAGGTGCACTGCTTGGAGCTGGATGCAGGCATGGGCCAACTTTGGCCTTCCTCCAGATGTTTTGGACTTCAACTCCCATAATTCCTAACAGCCAGTTGTAGGAGTTGAAATCCAGAATAGGGTGCTCACCAATGCTTCCTCTTCATCCTGGAAAGAAATGACGAGCAGAGTGCCACAGAGTTCCATCCTGAGCCCGGTCCTGTTCAACATCTTTATCAATGACTTGGGGGTCACGAGTGGGGTTTCAGAGGGTTTGCCGAAGACCATCAGATGGTCTTAGGAATCCCTTTGACATAGAAGATACCTAGTGGGTCATCCAGTCCAACCCCCTGCCAAGAAGCAGGACAACCGCATTCAAAGCACACCCAATAGATGGCCATCCAGCCTCTGTTTAAAAGCCTCCATAGAAGGAGCCTCCACCACACTCCGGGGTAGACAGTCCCACTGCTGTACAGCTCTCATAATCAGGAAGTTCTTCCTAATATTCAGGTGGAATCTCCTTTCTTGTAGTTTGAAGCCATAGTTCTGCATCCTAGTCAGAAAACAAGCTTGCTCTCTCCTCCCTATGACTTCCCCTCACATCTTTATACATGGCTATCACGTCTCCACCCAGCCTTCTCTTCTTCAGGCTAAACATTCCCAGCTCTTTAAGCCACTCCTCATAGGGCTTGTTCTCCAGACCCTTGATCATTTTAGTCGCCCTCCTCTGGACACATTCCAGCTTGGCAATATCTCCCTTCGGTTGTGGTGCCCAGAATTGGACACAGTATTCCAGGTGTGGTCTGACTATAGCAGAATAGAGGAGTAGCATGACTTCCCTGGATCTAGACACTATACTCCTATTGAGTGACCATTGCTAGTCCTAGTTAACTGGAGTAAGTGTTTCCTGGAAGACATGAGTATGAG